GAAAACCCCACAATCTATTTTTGATTTGGTTCCGTGGTCCCTATAAAGAGAAGCCACATACTTGAGTACTTTACTAGTATCACCAACGTTTTCCAAAGGAAAACAGAAACAACTGTTCTCTGTCCAACGGTGGTATTATAACAGTTGCTGAAGTCGACAGCAGCATGTATAGGATGAAAGTAAATACTAATATAACAAATTGGTTACTTACAAAAGAGTATTTGTTGTTTTATAGTGACTATCCAAGCGTGTACCGGATACAGTTTTAAGGGCTTCCTCATACAGCCCCGACTCGTCCAGTTTTACGAGCAGGATGTCAAAGTGGGTGTCTTCGGAAACTACCTCAACTCTCAATTTAAATATGCATGTCCCGACACCAGACTGGTAGGTGTAATATTGTAACGTGAGCTAATATTGTATTGTTATAAATATGTCATAGAAAAAGGTCTGTAGTATAATGTTAATCAGTAATTCGTATGCATATTATTATATATATTAATACGTAAAACGTTATGAAATAACTGATGATATGATAGACAACCATTGGTATGTATAATGTTATACTGTTATTGGTAAGTATAATGTAATACAGTTAAAATTGTTCCGCATTATATATTGAAACTGTACTTCGTATGTTTGATACTTTCAGTTAATGGTACGTGTTATTTTATGCTTAATTTGGTACGTACAATGCAATTCAATTATTGGTATGTTTAATGTAAAGGTTTAATTGATAAGTGTACCGTGGTTGGTATGTACAGAAATGTACATGTATATATAGTGACTGTACGTATACTTTTACAGGGAACCCGCGGTCAGGCACTGACCCACGTCGAGGCTTCAGACAAGACGGTTATGAGATTTGTTTGGCAAGCTCCACAGGTACCACAGGGTCACGTGGTGTTCCGGTGAGTACCATGGTCCCTTTATCTATAAGTTTACACCGTCTTATCAAGTAAAACGTTTTGTAATAATACACTAGCGTACAGTACAGACACGGTAACGTATTTACCCAACAAAGCAGAAATGAACAGGACAATGAAATGTTATAAATTGATTTTGTTTTCTAAGGGCGACAATCCTGCAGCAGTTCAATACGTATTGGATGGCAGTTAGCTCGCCAGTGGTATATGACCAGTTCAGTAACGTCCGCTTGACTCAACAACAGATACTGACCATGACGACTCCAATGTCAACCGCGTGTACCCAGACTGTCAACTCCACCACATCCCCTTCGACCCCTACAACAACTACCACTACCACTCCAAAACCCACGACCACAACGCCGACAACCACTACCACTACAACGCCGACAACCACCACCGCAACGACGACCACTACACCTAAGCCTACCACCACCACTACCACCACTACCACTACAACTACAACACCGACCACCACTACCACAACACCTACAACCACTACCACCCCGACCACAACAACTCCTACTACCACTACCACCCCGACCACAACAACTCCTACTACCACTACCACCACCACCACCGAGCCGACCACCACTACCAAACCAACAACTCAAAGGCCCGCTACAACTCCGAAAGTTCCAGATCCAGGGGTGAGTAATGTTAAATGTATGATAAATATTAAATATGTCATCAATGATATTGAATCGACTTATACTGTAAGGTACCTTATTTGACGGCTATGCCATTTTAGCCCCTCTCGTGCTGAAGCTGAAGTGATACTTTAAGTAAAGCATATTTATTCACATTTACGTTATATACGTCTGTAAACCTAGATTGCATGACCTCTGAAGACGATTACGGCAAACTTTGAAATCAATTTAAGTAATGATAGAACGCAATATGCTTAAATTTTGCCAGCGGCTATAGATAAACAAACTGTATGCAGCCATTAGATTGCTTTGTCGCTCTGTGACAACACGCATACATCTACGTGACTGTCAAGGAAACAGCTTCGGGTCAATCCCGACATGCTAGATTAGCATTTTATTTTTCTGTATGTAATTGATATGACTATCTTTACAGACAAAGGGATGTTACAGATCATCAGCTCACGTCCGCAATTTAGGCCTTAGTTACTGACATTTAATGTTGGTTTTATAGCAATTGTACAAGGAAGATAAAAAGACCCAACCATATTTCATAATCTGCCTTATAAATCCATGTCTCCCTCAATGCGAAACCTACAGAATAGATTTGTATTTCTTAAATCTATTTTTTTTGCCCGTATAACTCTAATGTGCTATATCAAATTTTAAAGTATTATCATACCTTAAATGACAGTACATATGAATGTTACTTGACAAACTCTAAGCATATAGAAAGCTCCCCGAAATAATTTTCGGGTAACCATTGTACAAATGAATAACAGTATTGTCGAAGATAATTAGCGTAGAATGTGATCAAAGGAAACGTTTATTTATATACTCGTTAAAACGTAGAATACAGAAGATTAAACAAGGGTGATCCGGAAGGATAAGCGTTTTTTCTTTCGTCGACAACATCGTCATGTCAATCTAGGTCAAATACAAGAAATGATAGGTCCACAAATGCCACGAAACAACGACACCTCGAAACACACTTATGAGCATAAAAGCATGCATCTCTCGAAACTTTTGTTGAAAATAATTTTGTCCGTGTATCGTCGATATCCGTCACAGAAATTTGGAAATTGAGAGCATGCCCTTGAATATCGAATCAACCGCGAAATGTACACATTGTAGACCGGAAAAACACGGATGTTCCTATCAAGATAGGGAAAGTTCACGATCGGCAAATCCAAATCATTATACGTATCGTATTGATTAGAATTAAGATGTCGATGAAGGGGTTATAAGTTATTGATTAGCTCGGAAATTATCCGACGTCGTTACATTTGAAGATAGAAAGTAAGATATTGTATTTTATATTCATTGGCTGATTATAGCCATCCAAGCATGACTATATACGTTGTGCGTGAATAAGGATATCAATGTTAACTGTTATTGTATTACAGACTTTGACGATACCCCCGGACATGCGCTGTAATGTGACCAGAGGCTGCCATCATGACTGTAGGGGGCCCTACTGTTCCTTCATCATTGGCTGGGTGGACAAAGGCGATTCCATCGATTTTGAAATACAAACTGTTGTCAAGGAAAGAGGTGATAAATGGATAGCCATTGGGTTCTCCTACGATCGAAATATGGTAAGTATCATGAAAGTCAATTTTATTATTGTGACCATGTTGAAAATATTAAATATGCATTCACTTGATGGCAGTATACGATATCTAAAGTCGAGTATTATTAAAACAGTGACCTCTTATTTAGTTGTCTCAAAACTGTCCCAGTAATACAATCGTCTCACCGCCCACATACCACTGTAATGGCATGAAACAAAATGGTTTGTGTGATGTTATGCATGATGACAGATGAGTTCACTGTAATGTCTAACCATTATTTTAGTTGAATACACCATGATCTGTCGTCACCATTCAGGATGTTAATTCCTTAAATTTTGTTTCCGGTTGTGACGAAAAAGTTCAAATATATATATATGTTATTGTCTTTTGTAGTTTATCATAAATAAGCTAAATAAGAGTCCGTAAACAAAAATGCGGTTGTATGAATTAATAATGTTTGTGTTACCAGGGATCCGACAGCGTGACGGAGTGTGTGACGACATCCGGTTACGTCAGCGTGTTCCAGTCTTACAATAAGGACACGCGCATTAATTCAAGACTAAGGAACGTGAGTATATAATCACTTTCAACTAATTCTATACCTTATACTATCGTACACTGTCACCCACACTGCTATAGTACAGCGTCATACACATGTCATATATCGACACCATCACAGCTAGCATAACGTCATGAGACAGTCCTGAAGATAAACTAATCAGTACTGTTTAACTGTATGCAGATCCACGTACAGTCACCATCAGCATACCACAAAAACCACGTCAAAACCGACAATGTCATGTAACATCAATAGACATACACCTTTACCAGA